CTACATTGCTTCAGTCCACCCAGCTGTATCAATGGGTACCAGCAAACTGCTGGGGACTAACCTGCAATGGACTAGTGTCCCGTCCAGGGGGAGTACAACTCTCATCCAGTTCACACTACAGAAACTGGGGAGCCCAGCCCCAGTGGCTCGGAAGGGATTTAGTTTACAAACTTGTTACTTCAAAAAATAACCAGTTTTATCTATGCATACTGAAAACTAATAACTAAAATTTTAGTAATAATATCACCAAAAAATAATTAATTATTGATTTTATTTTTTGAAATTTATTAGTTTGCAAAGTTTATCTTTAAGATTTATAAAAAAAAAACAACATTAAAACACTAATAATAATAATACGCCTGATACCCGAAACAAGCTTTCCAAATAATATTAAATATTGATTTTATTTTTTGAAATATACTAGTTTTGCATTGGCAGTTTATCTTTATATTTGAATTTTTATACAGCATAAGTTTCAATCAGGATTCTTCGCTGCTCTGTGTATCCAGTGATCACGGTACTGTCCATATTTTTGCAATTGAGGATGCAAAAAAGAATAAACAGTCAAGGTATGTATTTAGTTTATTTAATTTATTTTCTCTTCATTATTTTACTTATAAGCTCAATTAATTTCATCTGGTTTCTGTAATGTATGAAATGGAAAAAAATCTTAAATCAAAAATTAATACTGTTGTGACGTTTCGGTCCGTAATATTTATTATTAATTATTATTATTATTATTATTATTATTATTATTATTATTATTATTATTATTATTATTGTCATTATTATTATTATTATTATTTACTATTTCTTTGCAGTCTTGCATCAGCCAGTTTTCTTCCCAAGTACTTCAGTTCCAAGTGGAGTTTTTCAAAATTTCAAGTTCCCAATCAAGCTCATTGCATCTGTGCATTTGGGGCAGATTCCAACTCAGTCATAAGTAAGGTGTTCAAATCAAAGTTCAAGTGACTTCTACAGTGTTAATTTATTAAATGATAATGCGAATGATGATAATACAAATGAAAATACTGAAAAGGATGATTTGTGTGAATATTGTATCTGCATTGATCGCCTAATGATCAGTAGTGGATTATATAGTAACTGGCATTATTAGCTTGCAGGAATACTATGAAAATCAACAACATAAATGGATCTCACATATAATAGAACAAACAATAAAAATCCCCCCTCCCCGCACCTCCCTAGATGCACCACTGCATATGTGATTCTGTATTACAGTGATCAGTATCAACTTGCGCTTAGTGGTTAGTGTTAAATCCGATTCCCAAGTAGTAGCTGGTGCTGCTGGTAGGGCAAAAACATCATTCAAGTTTCCTGATGCAAAATCATTTAAATCTATTATTGTTGTTAAGTACTTTTTAAAAATAATTTTTTGAATATTTTTATTCATTTTTTTCAGCGGTATGTGCAGACGGCAGTTACTACAAATTTGTTTTCAACAGTAAAGGCGAATGCAATCGAGACGTTTCAACCAACTTCCTCGAAATGACAGATGACAAAGTATGAAGCACATCATGGCATGCAGTGCGACTACTAACATATCATTTTTAACCTGAATGCAAACCTTCGTATATGTTTCGTTCAGTCGTGAAGTGATTTTCTAAATGGTGCGTACCAATTGACCAGCTTACCAGAATGGATTCTGGAATTGGACTGGTTTGTGTTGAATAAATCTTCTGGTTGAATAAAAAAACAAATCTTATAAAAATAATACATAGAATTTTTTTAATGAAAATGCAAAAGTATTCCAATCAAATGCATGTATATTTTAGATATTTTATTAATCATAAAGTATATATTTCTTTGAAATTACATTTAGTGTTATTGTTGATATCGTATTCTCAAAGCCTGTTACTTTTATGTATCCTGCTGTTTTGTTATCAGGGTACGTATTGCTATATTATATACTGTACTCAAATACCATCAAATACTAATAGATAATAGAATAAATTTTGATGGATAAAATCATCTTTGTGACTGCTAGAGTTATGTAGATAAATGTGACCTAAAAAAATAAAAATTTTTTACATAATAGTAGACTCAAATCAATTTGATAAGCGTTTGAAACCCCTAAATTGTCAAAGCCTTTGAAACCCCTAAATTGTCAAAGCCTTTGAAACCCCAAAATTGTCAAAGCCTTTGAAACCCCAAAATTGTCAAAGCCTTTGAAACCCCTAAATTGTCAAAGCCTTTGAAACCCCTAAATTGTCAAAGCCTTTGAAACCCCTAAATTGTCATACTTTTGGAGGTTTCGCCACTTTTGAAAAGTTTTGAGCAACGTCTGGCTATGCTCACTTTGCTCTCATCGGTGAATCAGTCCCCCTGTCAGGAACCTTTTTCTCCCCCCCCCCCGGGAAACCTTGCACCGCCACTGCTCTACAGCACTGCTCACCCCAGCCATATACTTGTTTCTCTCACATTAGGCACCTTTATCCACTGTTTTGCAGCATGTAGCTATTATCAACATAATTTTGGAATATTATTACATAACCCATTATTATTATTATTATTTATTCAGGCAAAAGTTACAATATATAATATATAATACAAATCAAATTAACATGGACAATAAGAAAGAAAATATGGTAACACTAGCTGCCAGGAAGATACAAAAGCAGCCGAAGCCACTGTCACCAGATAGGTGTGTACCTCCAACTAATGGTACCAAACATCAACATAGACAATAACAATTTTAAAATCTTTAAAACACTTAAATGTAATCCTATAATTTAAATATTAAATAAATATATTTATATTAAACAAAATTAAATAAATATTTATAACCAAATTGCATATTTGTGAAACTAAATTAAATACAAAAGGTTAAATTGACATTAGAATTAAACTGATCCCAACAGTCCTCTTCATAATTTAGTTAACAGGTAAGTACTGTTTTCTCAGATTATTTTTAAAAGTATTCCATTTTAATAAAACAAAATCATTTCTTAAATCTGTGGGTAAAGCTTCTCAGAGTCTACAGAATCGAACAGGTAAGCAATGCAGTGCACTGTCAGCGCGTGCTTTAAGTCGTTTGAATGTTAATATTTCTTGATGCCGGTGATTTATACTAATCAATTCAAGTAAGTATCTATTGTTCATATTATTAAATTCATTACATAAAAACAGTATGTTTGTATAGTCTCTAAGTGAGTTCAAGTCCATCAATTTCAATCTTAAAAGTCTCTGTTCATATGGCTGTTCAAGTCGACACTGGTGAAGGATCATCCGTGTTGCCCTTCGTTGTAATTGTTCCAAAGTAAATTTATGTTTTTCGCAATATGGGTAGCATACAGTGCAACAATACATGAGTAGAGGTAGAACAAAGTGCTTTATATAACTTCAGAAGGATAACTGTTGGGCAAAACTGGCCAGAGGTAGCTCTAATAAAGCCAATGGTCTTGTTACATTTGGCTGTAATTTTAGCGACATGAAAATCCCATGTGAGGTCTGATGATATGTGGACACCTAAAAGCTTTAGATGTGGAATACATTCTAGTTTCTTGTCGCGAATTTTGTAGACGGCTGCAATCGGATTTCTTCTTCTTGTAAGGGATAACACTTGACATTTATCAGGATTCAAGGATAGCATGTTTCTATTGGACCACTCAACTATCGAGTTTAAATCATCTTGTAGGCAAGTGGAATCTTCAACTGAATTTATGGATCAAAAAATAAAAGTATCATCAGCGTATTGATGAGGCTTAGTACTTAGATGAAGGTGAAGATCATTCATGTAAATGTTAAACATTAGCGGTCCTGCAACTGAGCCTTGAGGGACGCCGGACAGTACATTCGTCCATTTTGAATACTCCCCGTGATATATTGTTCGTTGCGTGCGATTTGTGACAAAACATTTAAGCCAGCTCAAGAGAGGTCCATTAATTCCATAGCTCAATTCTTTATAAGAATGTAATGTGAGATGGAGTCAAAAGCTCTACTGTAGTCCAAAAAAATTAAATCAATTTGGGAAGATGGTTTGTCAAGCGCAATGGTCCATTTTGCATTGCTGTCTCTTATACACATCTAGATGTGTATAAGAGACAGCGATAATACTTTCCAGTGTCTTACAGAAAAGAGATGTCAGTGCAATTGGTCGATAGTTCTTTAGTTGTTGTTTTTGCCCCTTTTTGAATAGAGGAACTATGTTTGCTTGATTCCAAGAGGAAGGAAGTTCACCTTTTAGCAAACTGTGATTGTAAAATTCTGCCAAAAGACCAGAAATGGGTTTTGCAGCAATTTTCAACATCATGGGGCGTAATGCCATCGGGGCCAGCAGCTTTAGTTCCTTTCAGCTTATATAGTTTTTTGTAGACATCCAAAGCATTAACTTGGATGAGTTCAAAGGGAGGTATATCAATTGCAGGTGAGGTAATCGTTTCATTCTGTGACTTGTGATTTCTAAAGTTTAATGCAAAAACGTGATTGAATGCTTTAGCGATTTTTCCACAGTTACTGCACATATATTCCCATCAACTTCAAATAGATGGTTCGGAACAGATTTTTTCTTTGAACGTACATATGACCAAAACGATTTGGTGTTGTCTGGTTTAGAGAGCAGGTCCAAAAGAAATGATTGCTGCAAGTTTTTTGAAGCATATTTGACTGTGTTCCTAATTTTCTTGTAGGCATCCCAATGTTGCAAATTTTTAGTTTTCCTAGCTTTTTTGAAAAGTTTACACTTTAAAGAAGTTAATTTCTTAATGTCGGGAGATATCCATGTTTTTGCTTTTTTGTTGTGAACTTGTCGAGGAACACACTCATTGAAGCAGGTCATAAATATGTTTAGAAAGTTCTCCCATGTTTCCTCAATGTTCTCTGCCTCAATGTTGTCCCACGAAACTTCATCGAGTAATGATGCAAGTAGAATTGTATCAGCTTTGTCGTATTTGTATTTGGTTCTCGGTTTGAATGATTGAGTTACTGATTGAATGAAGTCACCATGGATACGAAAGTGAACTGTACAGTGATCTGAGGTAGAAAGTGGGTCATTTACTGTAACATCACTTATATTTGCTGCTTTGTTTGTAAATAGAAGATCTAATACTGTGCCTGAGTTCCCATCCATAGTGAAACGAGTTGGAGTGTTTACAAGTTGGTCAAGTCCGAGAGATGTCCAGTTTCGTAGTGATGAGAGCTGTTGAGATGTGTTATTTAAGCTCCAGTTGATATTAAAGTCTCTCATTAAAAGTATACTGTCATAGCGACTGATGTCCAGTTGAAGCAGTATCTCTTCAGGCTGCACAGCAGAGGTATTGTCATTTGGTGGCCGATAAAACACGCCACTTAACCAATGTTTTTGTTTTGTGTGGAAGCTTGCCCAAACGGATTCGGTATTTTCGATTGACAGATCATTTATTTGTTGAGGAAGCAACTCTGGTGATATAGCAAGTAGGACTCCACCACCATGTGAATTACGGTCTTTCCTGAAGATATATGTTTCGTAGATATGACTCCATCGGGTATATCGGTGTAGAGCCATGTCTCGGTAACTCCAATTAACTTTATGTTTTCGTCTGCTATCATTGTGTTAAATAAATATATTAAGAAATTTGAAGAAATTTAATATTATTGAACAGACCTCAGATTGCTGTAAAGTGCCTTTAAGAAACAAATATTTTCTGAATCTGAGGCCCATCTAAGAACCTGCTTACACTACCTAGCTAGTTACCCATCTAACAACTCTACTACCACTAGTTACCCATCTAATAACACTACCTAGCCACTCCCATTCTGTAAGCTGCCATTGTATTGATATTAGAAGTCCCACCAACCAAACCATGCAATTTCCAAGTGCCACCTGTGTTACCATGTATATAATTTAAAAAAACTGCATGTATTAGAAATCTATGCATAAAATTAATATATGTATTTTGATCAGTTCTCACTTATAATGCCTTGGAAAGGGCATTTGATAGTAACTGGTCTCATGATCTATTAATCATTATAAAGTTATACCATAATGTAAAAGGGTACACTTTTAATAGTATTCAATAATTTTAACTGTTTTATATCAATAGTGGATAATTCATTACAATGCATATTGGAAGTCAGACAAAGGAGGAACAAGTTCCTATCACCAAATGGTTTAATCTGCCCAAAAAATGGTGACGATTTGAAAAATTAAGCTGTAAAATCTGTCTCTTATACACATCTAGATGTGTATAAGAGACAGGCTACAGATGATAAAAAATGGTTCCTATTAATTTTGTGATACAAATAATGAGAAGTTTGTATTTATTTTCTTACCAAATATAAACCCATTGGCTGAAACAAAAGGTTATTGATTTAAAGAGAATTGAACTTGAATCACAAAGCAGAAAATTAACTAAATATTGGAGTTGAATTTATTCAGTGTGAACGCCAAGGATAGATCATGAAGGTCTAAAAGAAGACTTATTTCCAGTGGGGTCCTTCTGGTGGTGATTGGGCAGTACACCGGGAGACAATCCCCTACTCTTTTCCGAAGAGTGTAGTGCGTTCTTTAACAT